AAAATTTTAGTCCGTTATACATGTAAAGCAGGTTTTATAGCTATGTTGATCATGGTTTAAAAAAAATACAAATCATATATAAACACACGCTCCTCTTAGAGAAATTGACAGAAGCTATTGTAGCTTGCAAGAACATGTTATTGAAAACACAAACCACATCGAGAAAACTGCTAATCTAACGATTATCTTCACTGAATAAACAAACTTAAGACAAAACTCGTCGACAAACAGCTAATAAACTCTACATTTTTGACGACAAGAGCTGCATAACAACAAACTACAATGCATAACACAAGTTCAAAACTCGCGCCAATATAGAATGCCTCATAACATGCAATTCTCTCAATCTTCTTACCTTTTTTCGGTCCTATAATGTCATTGAAACATTTAAATACATTTTGCATATTGTATTTTCCCTTCTTGAAGCATTTTTATGCGTAAAATAACGCATTTTGTCAGCACCTTCCACCATGTTTTCCTTTTAGCACGTCTGGAACGTGCCATCTTGTCATGTGACAGAAGACTGGGAACTATAGTATCCCGCGGGTTTCCCGCGAGTGGGCTAGCCATTAAGGTGACTCGCAATACTTTTTCAAAACGTCAAAATTAGAGATTGTTCAAATGTTTTCATTTAACATTTGTATGTACAATACAGGTTAAAGAAGAAAACGTCTGTGTGAGCGGCTATTCATTCTTTAATACTCTTGTGGYTAACTCCATTCCCTAGAACTAACCCTAACCCTAATGTAACCCCAAACCCTGACACAAACCCTAATGCAAATTACTATACCAATATACTATAACACTAACCCCAATGTTAACCTTACCCCATACCCTAGCACTAACCCTAATGAAAATTACTCTACCAGCAAACGGCAGCACTAACCCTAGCCCTAATGCTAACCCCAAACCCTGGCACAAACCCTAATGTAAATTACTCTACCAGCAAAAGGTAACACTAACCCTAACCCTAATGCGAACCCCAAACCCTGGCACAAACCCTAATGTAAATTACTCAAGCAGTAAACGGTAACACTAACCCCAACCCTAATGTTAACTCCATACCCTAGCACTAACCCTAATGCTAATTACCCGAGTTGGATGCCTTCGTGAGTTGATTACGGATGGTGGTCGATTACGTTACGTGTTCCGCAACGTAAATAGTTACTAACTATGTGCTTACGTAAGGCTTTAACTTACGTATAGAGTTCACTTACGCAAGATGCACACGTAATATGTCTTGCGCGCTCAGTGGACATAACCAATTACGTGAGAAAGTGGACACTTACAGTATGTGGTCGATCGCTTACATGAGGTGGTCGCTTTCAGGAGGTGGTCGCTTACTGAAGAACTTTCGGAAGTTAAGGTGTTATGGAAGTTAATCATATCGGCGTAAAGAGCAGCTACGTATTTACGGAATTTGACGGATGTTGTACGTTTACCAGAAGTGTTCTATCTATTATTGGATGTGCCGCTTACCAATCATTACGTGTCAGTCCTATGCAAGCCAGCAAGGTGCCAAGAGCATGCAAGTGAAAGATTACGTAAAGACATTTGCTTATGATAAAGTAGTGGTTCATAGTCATTGGTCAATTTGTTTCCTTTGGGGTTATGACGTCATTATGTGCACGTGCAGACACTCCCTTGAGATCGCAAGAGACGTTTTGCGACTTGAAGGCCAAGGACGAGCGATTTGACGAGGACATCAAATATATCATACATCAACCACTAAGTTTTGTCTATAATTACGGTTTATAACGTGTAACGTATAAATCCCTTTTNTAACTCCATTCCCTAGAACTAACCCTAACCCTAATGTAACCCCAAACCCTGACACAAACCCTAATGCAAATTACTATACCAATATACTATAACACTAACCCCAATGTTAACCTTACCCCATACCCTAGCACTAACCCTAATGAAAATTACTCTACCAGCAAACGGCAGCACTAACCCTAGCCCTAATGCTAACCCCAAACCCTGGCACAAACCCTAATGTAAATTACTCTACCAGCAAAAGGTAACACTAACCCTAACCCTAATGCGAACCCCAAACCCTGGCACAAACCCTAATGTAAATTACTCAAGCAGTAAACGGTAACACTAACCCCAACCCTAATGTTAACTCCATACCCTAGCACTAACCCTAATGCTAATTACCCGAGTTGGATGCCTTCGTGAGTTGATTACGGATGGTGGTCGATTACGTTACGTGTTCCGCAACGTAAATAGTTACTAACTATGTGCTTACGTAAGGCTTTAACTTACGTATAGAGTTCACTTACGCAAGATGCACACGTAATATGTCTTGCGCGCTCAGTGGACATAACCAATTACGTGAGAAAGTGGACACTTACAGTATGTGGTCGATCGCTTACATGAGGTGGTCGCTTTCAGGAGGTGGTCGCTTACTGAAGAACTTTCGGAAGTTAAGGTGTTATGGAAGTTAATCATATCGGCGTAAAGAGCAGCTACGTATTTACGGAATTTGACGGATGTTGTACGTTTACCAGAAGTGTTCTATCTATTATTGGATGTGCCGCTTACCAATCATTACGTGTCAGTCCTATGCAAGCCAGCAAGGTGCCAAGAGCATGCAAGTGAAAGATTACGTAAAGACATTTGCTTATGATAAAGTAGTGGTTCATAGTCATTGGTCAATTTGTTTCCTTTGGGGTTATGACGTCATTATGTGCACGTGCAGACACTCCCTTGAGATCGCAAGAGACGTTTTGCGACTTGAAGGCCAAGGACGAGCGATTTGACGAGGACATCAAATATATCATACATCAACCACTAAGTTTTGTCTATAATTACGGTTTATAACGYGTAACGTATAAATCCCTTTTGCTCTAGTTGTCCTTCTGTTCCTCCCCGAGGATAACTCACGTGACTGCTGCATAACATTGAGAGGACTGGGTTCTAAATGACCCACAAAGGTCTCATGCGCTTTACTTGTGAATTTGATCGTTTTATAAGTTATGTAGCTTCAAAAGCATGCTTATACCAAAGATCTTCATAATGATTAAAGTTAAAAACCTACTGGTTTTACTTGCGACGCAAGTGCAAACGCAAGCGCAAACGCAAAAGGATTTTATTTCATAGTAAAACTCCCTATCCCAGTGTTAAAGCAATTAAAGTCCCACGTGCATCCATGAACCTTTGCGATCGTTTTTTTTTGTTATTCAAATGATCTCCTGTTGAGAGGTTTCTGATTGGTTCAAAATCCATGCAAGATGGCGAATTTTTGCATTTGAGGAAATCGCACAAAGGTTGTTAATGCATGTGTGCCTTTAAAGCAAGCACAAGAGCGAGCGAAAGATACCAAACTTTCTAGAACCACTTGATATTGAAATACTTTGCTGTCAATTATTATCATTATTTAAATGAGTGAAGAATCCTTTGTCTCCTATTGGTCAATACATCAGTGCAATTTCTTATATGCTTCCTGAATACACTCTAGTATTTAGTTATCCGCGTAGACCACAACCCCCCTCCCCGTCCTTAAAATATATAAACCAGTGGCACATCCAGAATATTACAATGTGGGGGTGGCTAACTCAAGAACAAATAATATGGATAATGTATAATTTAGGAATTCATGAGTCTCATTCATATTTCTTCCAGTTTACTGCTGCATTTTTGAACGTACCTACCATAAGCACCCCACAGATCTGCCTTTGATTTAGTTATCGGCTTAACCCTCTATCCCCTCTGCCTCTTCACCCCCTCACAACATACACACATAATGCTGTTAGCTGATGCTGATGTACAATCTATAGTGAAAACTCATGACAAGATCAACAACACAAACTCCTACTAACATGTGGGTTTATTTATTCACATTTACACAAAACTTGGAATTCTCTTTTAACACTATTCTAAATTATTTGATCACTGAACCCCTTCCCTCCCCCTCACTGCAGTTAAACCATTATCACTGCTGTTACAAATGATTTTCTGCAGACCTGTCAATGAACTGGAAACTAGGAAAAACATTCCCAGTAACTACTATAATGGTAGCAACATTAAAGAGAATTTTTTCTTTATAGTCTAAGTCTAATATCACTCCAAAAATTACTTTTTGATTTATTCTGTTAAAGAAGCTTGGCATTATAAAAAGGCTAGATGAATTAGGCCAGGGTTGTGTTACCAAAAAATATGTTGATTCTAGTACAATTAAATGTCAGTTTTTTTTTTGTATTTGCATAAGTTAGAAAATAGCTATTCATTTTTCAATCACAGCCAGGGCAGCAATTAAACTGGAAATACAGCTTGGCATCTCTTCACCTAGTAACTAACTACAAGAGCAAGCATGTAATTATAAATATCTTACAATAGTGCAAAGTAAAGACCTTTCCACTCAATTTTTACTACGATATTACACAAGAACAACTACATATATTTTGATTTATTCCTGTTTAGAAAACCTGCAGTTCAAAGAGACTTTTTGGCATTTCTACAAGTCATTTAAACTGCCAATGTCCTCTTCAGCGATGTAAGCACTGAAAACTGATAACTTCATATCTCAGGAACAAAGCTCCTACAACCACATGTTCTGTATATAATTCAAACCAAAGATTTTATCTTTGTTTTTTACCTCCTGTCCACAAATCTTTCCTGCCAGCAAAAACAAAGGTTTTTGAAAATACCCTTGAATATACTGGGAACATGTGCYGGACAAAACAGAATAAAAAGGTCTTTACTTAACTCTACCATAAAACTTATTTCAGTTATAGGCTAGTATGGATTATAGGCACTGAAGKGTAGGTAATACAGTGAGGCTTTTTATATGAAAGACTAGTAGTWAGGCCAAGTAATGTGAATATTCCAAGATAGTTATACAAATCCATAGAAAGTATTCAGACAAGACTTGACAGAGGCAAATCTCCTAGTGATTGACAGATTGTCAATCAACTAATGATTGATAGGTTGTCAATCAAACACTGGATGTGTATATAAATGTATTTCAGTAAAAAAATCAGTGCTTGTATTTGAACACTCGCATATAAAAATCCATTTGACTTGCAGTATTTGTATGATACACAATAAGTGCACACCACATAGACACAAAGCACTGACTTTCCCTACAGGAATACTGCACTATTAAATACACACATTCTAAGGCTGCTTTAAGTCTTAAAATAATAATTGGTCAAGAGATATAAGATCAGCTTTTCTGGCTAAACCTTTTGGTGTATATAAACATCCATGTATTGAAATAATTATGACTTCTTGTGATTTTTAGAGATGCCTGGCCACAATTTTCAACAATCAAAGAAAAATTTTACCTGCCTGTACAATTCGCTCAGTTACAATCAAAAAAAACCTCTTTAAGCCATTAATTTGACAATTGATGAGATCTATTTGAATTGTATTAAGTCATRATCTAACACCAGTTCAGAAAAACCTAAAAATAGGCCATGCATGCCTCTATGTTTATATCCCAACATTGTCTATGTTGATTAAAAATAGTGATAAATTCTTGTGACASTTGGAWACACACCTACTTTTTTTCTGGTTGTGCGTGCATGCTCTAGCGTGTATGATACATTTTTTGAATACATGGCTTTTTTATACAAAGACTGAAAAACACAATCCAATTAACAAAACTTGTAAGATGATGTCTTCGCAGCTTATGTAAAGAATCTTATGCTGCCATTATAACCTTTACTATGTCATGACATAAGGTGCAAATGGAAATATGGACTGAAGTGTTTCACTATTGTTGCATTAATCAATTTGAAAYCCCTGATCTAGTTTTATAAGTGTTGTTATATATTGGAATAGCTCATTGTGCTCTCTTGCAGCTCAAGTGGGGAATTATGAAGGGTGTAGCTTAACGCAATCAAGTTGGAGGTATATGAAGCTGCTTGTATAGCAAAGAGTACATGTRCGATAGTACAGCAAAAACACACGCCTACATAAAGCAGCCACTAACCTACCCATACCTGATTATGGATCACTGYTTCAATCAAAAATGGTTTATTTTTTACTGAGGGAAGAAAAACCTTAAGAATCTGGCCAAAAACACTTGAAGCAAGGAAGAAATGAGCAAACTCAAGCTAAATTAAACCACATGTAATGGGAATTGAACTGGCACCACCAGTGCTCTCACTAATTGGGTCATTATTAGCAAGATCGTGTTTTCTCATTGGTTAATGAACAATTTTACTTTAAAGGACTTTACTCACTTGCGGTTTTAATCATTGAACTGTAGTACTGAATGAACATGCACACTGAAGTTTTAACATCAAATGAGCTGACACAGTGGATTGAAAAATGATAGACCAAGTGAAATAGAAATGTTCTTGTCTAGCTTTATGCTCCTCACAACAATACAAAATGTTTTTTTACAAGGAGTAGCTATTCAATTTAGAACAACTGAAATTCAGTCCAATTTTTGATAATTCAGAAACATATTCAAATAATACAATTTTTGAACAAAATTAAATGCAAACCAAGTCATGGAGATGTATAAAAAATATGAGGGRATGTATAAAAAAATATGAAGCTTTGAGTGTATTAGTTTAYGAGAGTTGGGACTTGTTTTTCAAGAGTTTACCACAACCAAACAAAACATTAAAACTCCATTTGTGCACAATATAGTATACATATTCATTCAGATACCCAGACAAATAAGTTCTTTGTACATCACAATGATTCAATTTAGTTAAGGTATTGCACCATCATGTTGTGGCAGCCACTTTTGATGACATGGACAACCAAATAATTCAACTAAAGAAATCCTCTGRTTTCTCTAAAAAAATCATTGGCTGARCCATCCACCTTGCTTCTCTCACAAGATGGTGCAAATCCTCTTGCAAAAGGTGAATCCCTAGAGCTCTTTCCTGAAGAGTTTGGGAATGATGAACAAAACGTCCCTGATATCAAGCTTGCACAAAGAAGTCTTGTTTGGGACATGATATGGAATAAGTTATTTGGAACCATTCTTGATTGAAATAAAGCTTTCTYTCTCCCTGATACATATGACATGAGACCAGCTCTATATTGAGAAAAAAGAAACAAGACAATTTTGGAACCTTTCAAAATAAGCTGCAATTTGACTATTTGCAGTGAATGCTTCAGATTTGACAAAGTACAAAACAACAACTACAAACTGGAGTCTTTTTGCGAGACTACATAGTTTTAAAACATATGGGTTGAATGCTAGGGTTTTCAATACAACAAAAACAACTTCGGAGAGAAACAAAGCAGCATTGTTCAATGAAGAAGGTTCCCAAAGTACTGCAGTCTAATGTGTGAGGTAGTTTCTTGTTAATATATCTGTACTTATGGTTATTTTTTGTTCATTCTTGTTGTGTTATAGATGTTATTCTTGTGCAAATCCTTCTGTTTCTTCAATGGCAAATGTCAGCTTCTCAACCAATTGTTCATAACTCTTGTAAGGTGGAAGGTCAAGACGATTAAAGCTGAAGAGCAAAAGCATTTAAATTCAATTTGATATTCAACTAACTATGTTGCCAAGTTGTCAAAAAAGGTATTTTGGTCAAGTTGAATAAACGTAAACAAATAAAGCTTTTTTGAACTTTTTTGCAAAGACATTAAGGAACATTGAAGACACTTATGAAGCACTTAGAGCTTCTACTTTTCCAATTGCACCGATAAAATACATGTATATCTTTTGATTTTATAATATATAAAATGTTTTTGTTGGTGGAGCTGTTATGAGAACATCTGTCAATGGGAGAGTATTTAAGAAAAATTGGGATATGGGGAGTTATTCATAAGTTTGTAGCTGTACAAGCAATAAGTGATGCCTTCCACACTAATACAGTATGTACACATCTTCTAATGAAATAAAGTACAACAGGTCTAATAATACATGCAATTGTTAATAATTATTAYATAGTTAAGTCAATGACATACCATGTGTGGCTCCTTGGTAACCATGTYTCTTTACCAACCCTTTCAATACAAAACTTCTGAGGCCCATTACTCCCTGAAATAACCAAACATATTAAAAAGAATTAATCAATTCAATGTGTTGCCACAAGTTCCTTCAGCAATCAAAAGACAGGGATTTTGTTTGACAACAAGCCATTGAAGAGAAGTTTTCAATTCCAGGGCTTTTCAAGAATTTCAAGGAGTTGTAGCACAAACCCTGTATTATGGAGTCTACAGAATTGAACACTCACCCATTAGCTCAGCAAACCCACCAACTGGCAGTCTACAGGTTCCYGTTACAAATTGAAGTAACCTGGTCCTCTTCTCATTGTCAAAAGCTTTCAGKGCCTGAAGACAAAGCCAAATACATTAAAATGTCTCTCATATTGAAGAATATTAATAAACTCTCCTTATAATAAACCCATTACATGTCCCATCAAAGCAGCTTCAACTAGAGGACAAARCAAAGGATTTCCTCTCTTTTCAGGACTAAAATCCATTGCTTTGTCCTTCTGTTTGGGGTTGCATTCCCATGAACTGCAAGTTGTCCATATAAGAAATGTGCTATAGTTTTTTATTTGAGTGAAATGCAGCCATTTCTTTTCAAGTTGCATTTCAAGTCTTGAAATACTTCAMACAAATTCATCATGTTGATGGACTTTGACTAGCAAACACACACAAAAACCAGCATGTTCACCGCAGACATCCAYTGRACATTTCTYTTTGCCCTCTATCAATGGTTTGAATCTACTGACACCAGAACAAACCAAAACCACTGGGCAACCAAGKGTGTSAAYGAATTCATGATATTCCATGCTCAGGTTTATTAATCATGAACAAAGCATTGAACCAAGGCGTCAAGKTACGCTGAGCATAAACGAAAAGATCTGTGCTCAGTGTTCCTTGATGCCTCAGCTCCGTGTCTTCTTCTTGGAAATTAAGTACGGAAAGTCAAGAATTACGGAATACAAGTCACCTAAATTTTAAAGTCTAAGGACATTACCTGCCAAAACCACATAACTTGTTTGCTGTTTCTTGTGTAGTGTCTATAAACTGTGTTTTGCTGCCAGTCATCAATGTCAATTTCTTGCATTCCACACAGCATTAACTAGAAAGAAGAAGAAATAGTTTAGAATTGAAATAAAAAGAATTTTTTGCTACAATGTAACTACCATTCTAAGTCTGAAATTGGGTGCTTTAAGGGTCAAAATTCACTARCCAGATACAAAGAGAATCATAATTTACCAGTCATTATTTCTAAAATTAATGTCATTCTTTTTCGAGTTTCCTACTATGACAACTTGACAACAAAAAAGAAAAAAAATTCAGTGTAAACCAGCCAGCCCTTTAGTTCTTACAACAAGTGGCATAACAGTGAAAATGATATAATTTGTAAGTGACAGTATAAGGTATAGTTCTCACCTCCATCTCTTTTTCATCAAAGTACTGTATCCAGTAAAGAGGTACAACCTCATTGAAACCTTCTAAAAAGGCCTTGGTCTGTTCCTCAATACCTCGATTAAGACGCCATTCTGTCATTAATCTGAAATAATAAAAGCAGTGAGTTACTGGATAAAATTATCCACTTCATAGATTCTTATTTTCCTTTGTTTATTCATTTTATCTTWGATTAGCTTATGCATAGTTTGTAGAGAGAAATGGTTAGGAATGGTTGTAGGTTTTTGTGCACTTTTTTACAAGCGCCATTCTGGTCACATCTGAATAAACAGAGCGAAAAGTATTTTTTTWAATTATATTTTTAACCAATATTGAAATATTTCTTTTCATAATAGATCTCATAGAGAGTGTTGATGTTCACTCATTTTGAAATTTTCATAGTTCGTAAGAAAAATGTTATGCACGGTCTTGACTGATTCAAACTCAAAATACATGCAAAAGAASAACAAAAGGTTTCCAAACCATTCCCCTCTATTAATTATGGCCTATGTTATTTCCTATGCTAATGGCTGTGCTCATGTTGATGCAGGCTTGACCTCTGTCTTTTCTTTTGTTCTTGGCTTCTGTTTAAGTTGAAATATAAGATTATTTGACTTACGATATGTACTCCTCCTTGTTTTCCTCTGTGACCTGGATATCACCACCATTAGGTTTGAGATCATGAGAGGTAACTTTACCCAATAATTCCATATCAACTGTAAAAAACATTTCCAAACCACACTCTTCTATGTTATTCTCCCTGTAAAGAAAGAATTGTCTAATAAGATTGTGTCAAGCAATAAGTACTGTTGAAGAAATGCTAGAAAAAAGACATGCAGTGACAGTCATTGATGTTCTAAACAATTGTAAACAACTACAATGACTGATGGCATCTTTTATTTGATAAACTCTCCTAATAGTCCATTTTCAAATTCATAGTGGAAAACCGCTGCTTTATTTGACAACAAATTCTCTGGCACAAAGATCTTACAAACACAAAAGAAAGCATGGAAAAATGTCATTATTACAATAACCTTGAAAATTTGCATTTTCACCGAGTTGAGACTAACCCTGTATTCCTATTAGACCTACAAGTAAGTTTTAATCCTTTTTGGAATATAGGTCTAGCCTCAACTTGGGAAAAAAAATGTAAATTAATTGTTAGTGCCATTGAATTTTAAATCTCATGCTTTCTTTTGGGTTTGGCCAGGTCTTTGCTTAAGAGAATCTGCTGTCAAATAAAGAGCGATTGTTTGCTTTGAATTCAAAAATAGAGTATTGCAAACCATCAATTGATCATGTTGATGGACTTTGACTAGCAAACACACACAAAAACCAGCATGTTCACCGCAGACATCCATTACACTTTTCTTTTTGCCCTCTATCAATGGTTTGTATCTACTGACACAAGAACAAACCAAAACCACTGGGCAACCAAGGGTTTAATATCCATTAAGAGCAATAATTGTTATTTTTTAAATTGGTCGACTGTTTTTCAACATTTTCTAGTCTATAATATTGGAATCACTTACTTGACCCAAACAAGTGAGTTGTAGAATTCAGGATCTATAGATTCAAGATCTTTCATGGACAACTTCTTGTTCAGCATTCTYTTATAAAAAGGTAGAGTGAAGCCTCTATCGATGAATTTCCCTTGATAAAGAGCCTTAAAAAAGATAAACAACAACAACAATAAGAACACAATTTGTTTTAGGACTCATCCTGCTTTCTTAAAAGGTAGTTCTTAGAAGTTGTGGATTTTGATTTTGTTATTGATTTAAAAGCCATAAGATTTCATCGAAAGTGATATATATTATTAGAGTAGATTGATATATCTTTCGTATCTTTCTTTGAGGCGTTTTATTTTCTGTGCGAAATGACTATCCATCGATATGAGAATTGTGCGAACGGTCCGAAACTTCGGGCGAAAGGACTTGTGCGAACGGTCTCTTGTGTGAAATAACCTGATACCCATTAAACTCATTGATTCACACTGTAACCCTCTAATGAACTACATGCAAGCACTTAGATTAGAATGGAAAAGATTGATGTTTGATCTGCGAACTGTTAATTTTATGAAATATTTCACAGTTGTGAGTTTTAGAACAAAGATCATTCCCAGGGGTTTTGAATTGGGTGGTAGCAATAGATAAGAAAACAAACTAAATTGAACAGCTTACCATTGCTATTAAACGACCAATAAAACGGAAATACATGAGATGATCGGGATTGACTGAAGATGCTAAGTAAATAGAAAGATAAACATTGTCAAAATAATTTCACATTTTAAGTTCTTGTAGCTAGTTTATGGATTAGGCAATGAGCTAAATGAAAGGCTACAACTGATGTAGAGATTCAAAATAATTGTTCAAAGCCAGTTGTAGCTATGTTGTAAGGCATGTTGCTTACTATGGTTGTAAGCAAAAGATTTTTTTCCATTTTTCAAAGTAAATCCACAAGATAATCAATGCCATTTTCTGTGCAAAGCAGACAATTGTATGCAACATGCAGGAACAGGATGTGTAAGCCAAACTTATTATACAGTCACATTGCAGGACATTGATTACAACTGTTGCATGCTATCCCAAGTTTTTGTTCTTTGATAAGGTTGAAAATAATGTACATTATGTGCATTACTTGACATGCAGTGTGAAGTGAGGAGGAGGATGTTTTCTTTACCTGCATTGATTTGTAAACTATAATTATTCTTGTTGGCATATTCAAATAGACAGTACATGGGATTAAGAACCTCATGAGAAAGTAAAAAGAACCATTCCCTGTAAAAACAATATAAAATTATACATTATTATTGTTGAAGACAGGTAGGATATGAAGAATTATTGGTAGAGGCAGAGTATCATATAAAGAATTATTGGTTGAGGTAGAGTATGATATGAAAAATTATTGGTTGAGGTAGAGTATGATATGAAAAATTATTGCTTAAGTTTGAATATGATACAAAGAATTATTGCTTGAGGTGGAGATTGATAAGAAGAATTATTGGTTGAGGTTGAGTATGATAAGAAGAATTATTGGTTGAGGTTGAGTATGATATGAAGAAGCAAACAGGCTTAGGTGAAATAATAGGCTCAGACTTACCTTGCAACACCACCATAATCAAGACCTTCCTCCCCTTTAAATATAATATACAGTCGGCGCCGYAAGTCRTGTGCCTGATAGCGCATAACTTGCTGAAATGAATCCTCAAACAAATTGTTTCTGTTGACTGTGATTTTAACATGACTTGGCAGAGCATTGGCCTAGAGAAAGTTAATAACTATTGTTATGGTAAGAATAGAATAGAGTGAAGGAATATTAGAAAAATATCATGGATCACTGGAAAATGAAGACCTTAGACCATAAAACACCCTTCCGGGGACCCAATGGGGGGACTCAATGATATTTTTGCTTCAAGATACCTGACAGAGATGCCTAAACTGCCCGACCTTCCATCTAAAGCTRCGTTCATAAGCTGGGCCGCTTGCTGTGGCATTTGGTGATATTCTTGGGTCATGGAAGGATGTTGTCCTGGAGTTATGATCAACAAAGTATGGTATGCCTTCATTGGTATATCTCATCTCCCATCCCTCCGGTAARGGCTTGTCAGCAGCAACAGTTCTGTCAAGAAACAGTGGACAGTTAGATTTGTGACTTTTTTCTGGCCTATTTATTTTAAGGGTGCTTTCCATTTGTCAGAACTGCCTGGCCAGACCCAGAGAAAATGTCATTATATATCATTCATATTTAGTTGGGAAATTCAAATTCTTTCCATTATTCTATAGAAAACCTCGAAATGACTGGAAAATATTGACAAAAAGCATTATACACCTCTAAATAGAGTGGACTGGCTGGCCAGTTCTGCCTAAATGGAAAGCACCCTAAGTTGATCATTCTCTAAAGACAATTTTAAACAAACAGCCACWTTTTCTTACCCTTGAGTTCTTGGATCCTCCCAGTGAGTTGTTCGAGTGTTGTGATTGACAAAGTAAACTCTGCCATTGGCCTCAACTCTTTTTTCTGAAGAACATGAAATTACGTTAACAATCAGTGTAAATAAAAATTCCGGGATCCATACATTTCAAATAGTCTCCTTCATGTCATCTCTTCTTGTAATCTAACCAGGCTTTTGCATTGAAGCAAAGACTCTCATTGAGAGCAATTAGAGCGGATTTCGTATGAGTGGGAAACGGACGGTACTGTACTGTGACCGTAACCGTACTGTAACCAAATTCTAGTGCGCCATTGGTTCACCAAAATTGTGCAGGCCAGGTCCGGTAACTGTGCGGTAACCGTGCGGTAACCGTGCGGTAACCGTGCGGTAACGGTGTCCCACTCATACGAAATCCGCTCTATAGATTCCTGTGTGTAACYGTCTACAGATGTGAGAGGTTTCTTTTGTTTGACATACCAGTGCACACACTGGTCATCTTCGATGTAAATACATGGCTAACTTTTATTAAAGATAGTGCAGCAAAATCTTGAAGGAGACTATTATCACTGTATGGTTTTGTATTTTTTAATGCATGTATAATAATAGAGTACACACCCCATCCTGGCGGCAATGGTCCAAGTTGATCTGTTTCCTGTGGCATCATATTAGCCTAAAACAACAGTTAGATATTTCTCACTCATTGCCAACCATATCATAAGTACAATTAGTACACTTTACATAAGGAATATAAAACGGATTTCCATCTTTGATACTCTGATAAAAATACTTGGGATGCAGGGAGAACACAAGAGAAGGGTAGAAAACCACAAAACAAGTACAAAAGAGTACACAAATATCCATTTTGTACAACTTCAAGAAATAATAAAATTTAGTTTACTTGCTTGTTTGATCTATAAAAATGATAATTCCCAATGAAAATACAATCCACAAAGAAACGATTGTACAAGTGTGCTTGATACTCGCTACACTCGTGTTCCTAAGCTTGCTTCTCTCGTGTTTTTCGAACTCCCACCATGTTTATATCAGAGGACAGAGACACACGCACCGTTTTATATTTCTTAAACTATCTTTTAGAATTCTTTCTTAAAATTAGTCATCATCTTTTCATAATTTTTATCATCTCAAAATACAATACTAATAATCAAATCATCAAAACCCCACATGCATTAAAAAAACTCCATTGTCAACTTACAGGTTGTAGGAGGAAGCGTTGTTGAAAGTGCTGCCGTTCTGTGTTCAACATGTTTCTGTTCTGTGCTTGCCAGTGTTCATAATTCCTGATTGATTCAACTGTTGGCCTCTGCCATGTTGTTGTTCTAGTGTTGTGGTCAACGTAGTAGGTTCTTCCTCTTGAGTCTGTTCTTCTTTCCCATCTAAAATGACAAAATAATATTATATTTTAGCTTTATTGTGTGACCTCATCTGTCCCCACTTACAGAAAATAATGATGCAAGCAAGGCTGTGTACTGACTTGAGCTGGTCTGAAAAATCTACCTGTTATCCCCATAATCCAAATTAAAATCTTTGAACGAAATTTCATCACGAGTTTAGACACACTACTGGCATTTCCCCCCAATTTCCTGCCTTGATTTTGATTGGGTCACATTATAAAATGCTTTGTTCTAAATCAGTACAACACGACCTTGAACCAAATATTTTCCCATATGGCCAGACAAAACTCAGTCAACAAGCACTTATCATAATATAGATGAACTTCAATAAAATACCAGGTAATTTCCCTTATGAAGAAGAGACACCTTCACATGTGAAAATAACTAGTATTCATGGTAAATCTTACCCCACTGGAAGAGGCTGTGGTCTTTCCCAAGCAGTAGTCCTAGTATTATGATCAACATAGTAAATTCTACCATGAGGATCCACTCTAGACTCCCAGCTAAACACAAAAACAAAACAAAACACATGAAGAAGATCTTGCAGTGTTCCACTATTTTTAATTTAAGATATATTTTGATGTTTCCAAACATTTGCAYTAAATTCAAAAGCTAACAAGCAATTTTAATTTCAACAGATTCAAGGAGTTCACATTAAAAAAGTATGTGAAATAATTTACTGACGTTTCGGATGCGTTAAGCCTTCATTGTCTTTACTCTGACGAAGGATTAACATACAAAATGTCGGTAAGTTGTTTCATCTACATTTTTACGATGTTAAATCTATCTTTTTACAAACTGTTTATTTAGAAACACCGACGTAGCTCACACTAGTTTACCACTAGTAGCCAATCTTTTAACATGAATATTTCATGTGCATTCAGTTTACAATCAACTGTGAATAGTCGAGTTTCGCGATCTCTTTTACACTGTGTTAGCCTCAATTGTGTGCTAAAATATTCAGAAATGTAGATAAAACTCGTGAGATTTCAAACTATTTCCATTGTCTTCTATACTCACAGATCTCTTGCATTGAAATGTTGGATAACACCACCTCATATTGTGGTGTTGGATATTGAAAATGATGAATAAGGCATTTTGATCAATGGTCCGGTCAATAGCTAGGTGACAACTACTTACCCTTGGGGGAGGGGTTCTTCTGGTCCTGTTTGTGCTCGTTGTGGTGGTGGGGGTCGACTTGGTGGTGGTAAAGTTGCATTGGTATTTGCTAATAAAAGATAGMAACATTAATCTGTTAATTAACCAAAAGATATTGAGAAAAAAAAGGAATTTTTAACTTACAAGGTGTTGATGCKCCAGCTCCAACTCCAGCTGTTGTTGCTAGAGAAAGACTATTCCTGGAGTTGCTACTTGAGGTGGATTGAGGACCAGSAGGTCCAGACAGAGCACCAGTACTTACTGGACGTTGYCTCTGGTCATTACTTGATCTGTTATCTCGTCTTGGTACATCACCATTATTTACACTAACAAAAAAAATAATTTGATCAATAATTCACCATTCTATCACAACAAAATTTTTGTTTTCTGTATAAAGGTGTCTAGTTTTGACAACTATTTCAAAAATGTTTTTTTAGAGAGACTGGAGAAGTAATATTTCTTAAATAAGAGCGAGTTTTGGATCAAAAACAGGCTTCCAAGCACCGGCTTCCAAAYACCCAYCCACAGGCTTTGTGCTTTTATAGTTTCTTGGTGTTGGGAGARAATGATCMAMCACAAAGCACAAGGTTAWRAAATAGCTTCTCCAACTCAATAAACAATTGATAAAATAGTAGTTGATTTGTTTATACATGTATAAATAAGTTCTAAATCCACTTTCCACACTTGATCACATATAAAAGTTGTCTATATTATAGAGACATGATTAAAATTACCATATTGATTCTACTCACCTGGAGGACTGACGATCAATAATGGATCCATTGGCAGCATTGCCCCGTCGYTTCGGAAAATGYCGTATGTTKACTGATAACCCATCCAAGATGACATGAAGGTCTCCTGTTTGCACTTTGGTTCCATTCTTGGTGAGGTTTATGGGGACTTGTACATTACAATTATTTACTACATGGATATATTTAGTGTTAATTGTTAGCTAAACATTCTAATTCATACACAACTTTCAATCTTGACCACCAATGCACGAGAATAATGGTAAATCACCAAAACAAGGGCCCAAACCACGAGAAGAAAAAAGAGGAAAGAAAACATAACA